GTTTGTATTGTGGTGTGTTTTACAGGGGTAAGAGTAAGTACGCCAATGTCTATAATAGTAAATATTTTCATTTGTTTCTAAGGCTAGGGATGGATCCGCCTGAATGTAAAGGCTAGAGAAGCGTGGTATACAGGCATACCATGCATTCCCCCCAGGTGATATATAGAATTTTTCAACATTTCTGTTCATGTCGTGTATCAAGTCTTAATGTAAAATGTTGTTTACGTGAACCACTAAGTTCCTCTTACCCTAGTTACTCAGGGCACTAGAACAATCACCAATGACGTTCTGTACATTTTCTTGTGGAAAATATTTCTGTCACATCAAATACATTGTATAGAAATCGACGGTATTTTTTTTCCACTAGCAAGATGAGTGATGCCTAGAGATATGACGTCCCTTATTTTGATTTAACTAGAACTTAACTTTAACAATACTGTTACGTCTCCGTTTGTTAATTGATTTTTCCGTAACTTCGTTCCGACGAAACTTTAACGACACAAGTCTTTACTTAATAAAACTGGTTTATTCCTTCCGAACACAACCCTACGATAAACTTAATTTCAATATTCGCGCTAAAACCAACACTATAACGAACGAACGTTAACTTCAACAATACGTTTCTCTCTGACCGCAGTTCAATTACTCATTACCTACACACACATTACTGCGTCACGTTGTCACCCTCTTATGTATACCAGACTACCCTATCTAGTAAATGCTAGGGCATTCGTGAAGGAACAAGATAGTTCTAGAAACTAGAGGGCGTGAGAATAGTCACGTGATCTCGATGACGCAACAATACGTTTGAGAACCTTTACATAGCTTAACTCTCCAGTAAAAGCGCCACACCTACATTCGTGTTTAGCACTGATTCTTCTTCGAGTGAATAAAGATTATTTTACTGTGTATATCTTGTGTCCAGCCCCCATTTTTGTTTGTGAAACTCACTCATGGTTAAGAAAAGTCACATTTCTACTTTGCAATACATTTTGTTGGATAGTCAACATGGTTTCACTGGTGAAAAAAATTTGTCTTACTAATCTTTTGAAATTCTATGAAGATGTTACTGCTTATATAGATGAATTTATGGGTGTGGATTTGGTTTATCTGGGTTTTCAGAAAGCATTTGACAAAGCGACACTAAAAGGCTTGTTAAGAAATGGCTTCTAAAGGCACGGAAGGCAAGTCGGCTCATTGTATAGAAAGGTAACTGGATGAAAGAAAGCAGTGGGTTGTTCCAAATGAAATTCAGTCAAACTGGGTTAATTTCACAAATGGGGTACCACAGTTCTCAAAGTAAGGACCTTTGCTCTTTTTGGTTTACATCACTGGCATATATGAAGGAATAGTCAATAAATTACTTAAAAGTTGCTGATGATGTTAAGGTCTTGGGTGTTGCTGTATGGAGGATACTGATGCTTTACAAAATAATTTAGATTATTTGGTGAGTTGGGCAAATTAAAATGAATGGTAATGCATGTGGGTTATCATAGTTTGAATTATAACTTTGATGGGACTAACCCTAAGAGCGTTATGGGAGAAAAGGATCTTGATATTCTAGTTGATAATTATCTTAAGCCATTCATGCAGCGCATTGTTGCTAGTGGTAGAGCAAATAGAATTTTAGGTTGTATCTACAGAAATATTGTGTTTTAGTGTATAGGTAACTAGTTAGGCCACATTTAGCGTATTGTGTTTAGTCTTCGTTCCTTATATTAGGATAGAAAGGCCGTCATACAACGGCAGGTTAGATTTCTGAAAATGTTTCCTCTTGAAAAAAGAAAGCTAGAGAGGATCTGATTGAGGTGATTAAAATTAAGAGAATTGATAGTGTTGATGCAAATCTTTTTTTACACTTAATGGTAAGAATAGTAGGATTAGGAGACAAATATCAATTTTTGGCAAGGTAGAAATCACCTTCAGCTAAGACAGTTTTATTTTTCTGACAGGTGGTTAGCCTTTGAAATGGGTTGCCTTCAGACACGATGGATGTAGTAAATTTAAGGGAAACTTGATAAAGTCTAGGTTTTATATTATATATATATAGTGGATGCATACCTTGTTGTCCTTTAATTTAACATTATATTTTATTTGTGACAATAGATTGGATTTTCTTATGTTTACAATGCTAGTAATTTCCTCATAGAAACTGTTAATAAAGTCTAGCCTCACAACATAGCTTTCAGGCAAAAACTGACCATTAAATATATGCAAGATCCTTATTATTGTTATTTTATGACAACAGAAACTCATCTTCAAGATTGATTAAATAATGTTAAGTATTAGGTCAAATTTTCTAAAATGTATACATAATTTCTGTTCCATTACAAAAAATGCCTAATGATATCTAGCTAGATATAAAAACTTTAACCTGTTATTTTTAACTTTCCCGTTTTGTAAGTTGTTGCTCTACCATTTGGAATATGTTTACTATAGTTGCCATTCCCAATATTTCTAAAATTATGATGCATTTTCTTTTAAACAGGGGAAATCACAGTTTATTAAATTATGCCATTTATCTCAAACAACCTAAACTTTCAGGGATTTAAGTGAACTGTTGTACAAAAGAAGACAAATATGCTTCAAATATTTAATGAACCAATAATTACATTTGACATTCAAGGCACCAGTATTTACAGCATACATTGACCAAAAGGAAGCCCCTTCTATTCAGAGCCATTGCCATACAAGATTTTATATAAATAAATGTTTGACCTGTTTATTACAGTACTTCTACTAAAATATTTAATAATTTTCCAAATAATAGGTCCAAATATTCTAACTTTAACAAATTCCATTATTATCACATTTTTTTCACATACAAACACCTGATTCTAGATATACGCTACTTTAAATTCCTTTTACTTCCCTTCTTTTTACCAGAACAAATATTTTCATCAAATCAATTGTTAACATTCCAATGTTGTAGTCAAATACAATATACCATCCTCCCTACTTGCTATAAATCAATAACATCTCAGTAATAACTTTAGTTTGTAATTCTTTCTTTGGTATAATATGAGAGAATAGGTCATGAATGTGTGATGATCACATATATGAGATTAACTTCCAATTTAATCTTTATAACAAAAGATCATTTTGGGTTAACAGATCAAAATAAAATCTCAAGTAAACAAATTTTCCCACTTACACTTGATTTCTTTTTTTACAACAGAATACTTATTTTTCAACTCCAATGCTGGATATTAGTATCATCTTAAAATTAAACTGCTGTTTTAGTTTTGGGAAAAAACTTTCGTTTCTGAACTTCTGTGTATGCAGCCTAAAATGGCAAAGCATGATCTGTTAATGGGTAACACGTGTCACAATTTATCACATATGATTGATGATAATAATTCTTATATTAACTTTCCCCAGTAAAAATAGAGTATTACTAGCATTTTAAATACACTTTATTAGTTGTATTCCAAAGTAAATAATTATTATAAACCTTAATGTGACATGTGTGATCTCAATTATTTTGTGTTACATTAAACAGGTACTATTATTTGAATATTAATATAAACTCCAGAAAAGTCAAGTTTTGTAAATTAAAACAAAGTAGTTAAAAATTACTTGGATAAACAAGAATGCTAATTTAATGGTTCACAGTGTTATGCTTCACTTGCTTGTTTATTAATCTGAAGGCTCTGTTATATAAACTGATTTGTCACTATCCATCTCTTATGGACAAAATAATGATTTTTTTTGTAGTTGTAAACTTAATGTCAATTACACTTACATTCCTTCTTTCCACTTTACAACAGTTTTGTTAATAATTATACATACATACACACGTTCAATGTTAACAGTGATACTTATCACATTAAGTGGCAATTTAAAGCATGTTTCAGAAGTTTTGAAGCTGTTCTTTGCTAAATTAGTATTACGAACTAGCTAAACTAAGCTAAAGAAGTCTATAAAATTACAACAGTTCACATTACTGTTATATTTGAAAAATATTATAATAGTTTTTTTAAACTATACATTTTACCTAATCATAACAAACTAATAAAAAAAAACAATACAATTATATCCAGCCATATAGACAGGTCTTTTAATGTGCCATCTGATCGATTAGATATATATGAACAATAGCTGTAGAGATAAACATTATTTATTGCATAACATGGGTAAGCATAAGGATCTCAATTACTTCGCAAGGGGTATAATGTCGGGAGTTCATGATTCAGGTTTATTGTTCATGGAAGTGATAAAGTGGACAAAGATGTCTGTCAAAACAAGCTCCCAGGTATACCTGGAATGGGAAAACATCAACTGGTAAGCACCTCAAAAGAACCACCTACTATATGGATCACTGACTAATGGGACATACTTTTGAAAACCACAGGCATGCAACAATCACAAAAAGCATGTAAATGGTCAGCACTGGACATGAACATAGCATATTCATGAGAATAATATGCCAGGAATAACATCCAATACATCATATCAACAGTTCAGACCACCGGATGTGGTGTGAAAGTCAGGGGATTGCTCAGCTGGCATGGATTAGACCCAGGAACTATCTAGGGATCTTGGCTGAACAACTGCACCCAACAAGGCTGTTAATGTATTCAGACACTGATAGGCTCTTTTAGAAATGACAATGTCACCATCCATCAGATCCACACTATGCAGATTTGGAAACATAACATCGCCTGCACGCATCTTCTCTGACCACCACAGTTTCCAGATTTCAACTCAACTGAGCATCATTGTGACCCCATCAGGGCTATTCTCATCTTCCATACTCTTTAATGACACTACATCTCAACTTTCTGCAGGAATAGTGCAAAATATTGCCAGACGTTTACTGCAATTTTGTGGAATTGATGCCACTTCTTGTAGCTACTGTTATTGAAGGCTTATGTGGTTCAAACCCTTACTAGGTGCATTCTGTAAATTTTTGAGTAGTTAGTGTACTTTCTTAATATGTAAAACTGAAAGAATTGCATTTGCCAAATCAGTTAAACCATACTTTAGCTTCATTTTTATGAAGAATCAGTTATTAAGGTATTTTTGTACTACTCAAATAAAAAGGTTTGATTTTATTAGTTACTACTAATAATGTAAAAACTTATTATTTTCATGATTTTGTCATTCAACACAATAATCTACAGAAAAGAGGTGGAATAGCAGTAGCCTACTATGAATACAGAAGAGAACTTTGAATTGCTGCTCTTTCATTTGCAAATAGTTTAACTATACACAGATAATTCCGTATTCAGAGATGAAGACTAAACATAAATTACTGTTGATAAATTGACAGAAAGTTGAAAATATTATATTAAAATTATTTTGAATATGCAAATCAGTAAGTCATTCACAACAACAGCTGATATAAAGTTGTGGTGGAACAGATTGTATAAGAACTGTGTTTTAACATTATTTGTAATTTTATAGGTAGTGTGATGACACCCAAAACTGTTCAATTTTGGAAGAGAATGTAACAGCCATTTTCAATCCAAAATATTCATACACTCGGCTGATAATTGTGTGCTCAGATTAGAGATTTAGAATTTCCAAGATGGAGATCTCCCTTGTACTTAATGGTATTAGAAAACAAAGAACATGGATCAACTTGATGCATCAAGAACATTCCAGAGACCTGCAACAAGTGTATCCCAGCCATGGTATGCAAAGTGCAGCATCTTATAACAGGTGAGAATCCACAAAGACAAAGATCAATGGCTGCAACAAACCTCAGCATCGTCATAGGGGCAACAACATCAAGTATGTTGGTGATATCTTTGTTTTTGTTAATCAATATTATTTATATTAAAGAACCCTTTTGAACTGCAAATCTCGATCAAATGATGATGAAACCTTGTCAAAATGTTGTACATTTGCTGTTATGTTAAACTTATATTAAAGATTTTCTTCATTACCCATTCAAGCCATCTCCAACCATTATTAGACTGTATAATAACTACGTTTTAACATTATTTGTAATTTTATAGGTAGGGTGATGACACCCAAAACTGTTGAATTTTGGAAGAGAATGTAACAGCCATTTCCAATTCAAAATATTCATACACTCGACTCATAATTGTGTGCTCAGATTAGAGATTTAGAATTTCCAAGATGGAGATCTCCCTTGTTCTTAATGGTAGTAGAAAACAAAGAACATGGATCAATTTGATGCATCAAGAACATTCCAAAGAGACCTGCAACAAGTGTATCCCAGCCATGGTATGCAAAGTGCAGCATCTTATAACAGGTGAGAATCCACAAAGACAAAGATCAATGGCAAAAGCTGTCCACATGCCCCAGGCAATAGTATGCAACATAATAAAAAAGAATCTCCATTTGGAAATGAGGTCAACAGGGTATGGGATAACCAAGATAAGATTTGTAGTCATATCTCCTGTTCAACCATTGTATACTTCAAACAACTGGAGAATGAAAAAGATATTCATGCTATTCTGTATGAAGACATACTGGTCAAATCACAGTTGCAGCACTTATGGATTTCTGTGCAATTAGACTGTTAAAACATTTCCAGGGAAACTATTGTCCTCCTAAACTAGATGGATCATGGAAAGTTTTTAGGAAGGAATAGTATGCTTCGAACATTACAGTCTTTCCATGAAGAGCCTTTTGCAATGGAAACTACACTGCAGAGATACTGTCAAAATGCATGGTTGTCAGATAGAGCATGCTCAGATGTGAGGGCATGGATAATAATGACATGGTGAGGCTCCAAAATCATTTTAATGAAACGTAATCAAACTCTGTAAATGTACAATTTAAAGAATGTGTTTACACACTTCTATATCATTATAAACTTTGTCACCACAAGTTATATTTAATAATCTTTATTTGTGCGTTTATTAACAATAGTATAATTAATAGTTAAGATATAACTATTTTTATATGAATATAAAATCCTAATTACATTTTACTTATAATATATTTTAATTTTCAAAAGAAAGACAGTTCATTCAATATTTAGCAACATTAACTGATTCTGGTCACCATTGTAAGATTTCATGCTAGTTGTTCAGGAAATCAGCAACTTTAGTGTGAAAAACACATAAAATACTACCAGTCATAAAAAAAAGCACCATTCCCAAAATGTTATTTTTTAAAGAAATATATAAATGTATATCAGTAGTTAAAAAAGTGGTACAAGTATAAGTTTGATAGCCTACTATTCACACAAAAACAACATCAACTAGAAAAGAGGCTATAAAACAATACCTGTTTATCTTGTAAAAAAAAAAAAGTGGTTAAAAATGAACAAGTGATATTTCTTATATAAGTACCAAAACCAGTACAGATAGAGAATATTTTACAGTTTTAAAGACAATTATTACATTTTTTTTGTAAAAGCACCATAAACTATTCTTTATTAGTTTACTAGGCATAAACTTTTTATAATTTAGATATACAAAAAGCACAATATTCATACACACAACCATAGGATAAACATTGAATATTTATATAAAAAGGGGAACAAAAACTGGTAAGCCAGTTATTGTAATCCAGTACAATGACAATGGACTGATATAACTTAAAAATAAAGTATTATCAGTAAACTAAAATGCTACTCAAGTAATGTTCTCATGTTACGTAAGCGTGAGATAACAAAATGCATTTTCAAGTCATGATAAGTTTAACCTTCATAAGTGTCAACTCACCTGCAAAAAACAACATAAAAATACAGTGAATTTTAATTGGTAGTTTCCAGGAAACTTTATTTGCTCATTAAAAAAAAAAAACAACAACACTAGTTTTATAAACAAATTAAAGTTTAACTTAAACTTCTCACAGCAAATTGCTAGAAATCTTATTGTTTCTGATCTTAATTTCAATTCAATGAGATTTTTTTCAATGTTGACATATTAAAAAGCCAACCAGTTACTTTACATAGAATTGTGTGTGGGATTAATCTGCTTTGGAGTACATTCAACTGGTCATTATGCCTTTGAAATTGTATACCCTTATTTCTTCTGTCTGATTAGATTCTTCATCATGTCAAAACTGTTGCCATCTGACTGAAGTGAAACAATTCCAGATGAAGTATTTACTTCAAGAAACCCAAACTTGTCCAAGCCCTGAATAGATGCCTTCTCCTGCAGTTCCTCCAACCAAACTTCTTGCTCACTAAAAACCGTGACAGAAATAGATGGCATAATTATTGAAAAGCCACTGGTAAAATAATTATCATAAATATATATATATATATACACACACACACACACACGCACATATATATATATATATATATATGTATATATATATACATACATATTGAAATTACACTTGTTCGATACAAGATATTATGAAAATATTCATCAGGAGCTCATATCCAAGTTTCCAGATAATACTTAAAATCATCCAAAGTTAATATGATTGTGAGGGTTAAGATGTTAATAAGGGCCTCACTTTAACACATACACTAAAATAGGCCAAGATTAAAACTTGTAAAATAAACTGGCTTTTATAAAACTATTAATAAAAAAGGAGATTACAATGTATAAACTCATTAAACACAATTACATATTCAAGATTAAAATATTAAACTAAAAACCGTCTTCAAAATTTTCCTAGTGAATAATGTAACTTTCCAACTGAGCTACTTACACTCAGCTGGTTAACAAAGGTTATGGTCTCTTATCATATATACAACATTGAGTATTATATAATAGTATTAGGTTGACTTACTAGGGAACAGTGATTCATTTCCTGAACACATAAAATATTTATAATAGTAGTGTGGAATAGTAAACAAAAAACATAGGTACATACTTATGTAACCAGTAAGAGTAATACAGAGGTAAGATCCTAGAAGCCCCATGGGTTTGGAAAGAAGAGATTAGAGCCTCAAGTCTTGTCAAAGTCTGAGCTATAAATTCTTCAGTTGTCAGTTGTTCAAGTTCTGAGCCAGTAGCCTGATTATGAAACTTGATAAGATCATTGACACACATAGTTGGATTGCTGTTACTAATATTGATTCCACAACCTACAAAAATATCAACAAAACAATAAACTTAGCTAGCAAACACAACTAATTATTCAAGTTTAGGGTCCAAGTAACAAATAAACACTCCCATAAAAGGATATTATTAACACTAGTCAAGAATAAGTTGAATGTAAACTTCAAGTATTTGTTCCCACAGTTCAATTACATGATCAATTTATTAATTGAATTTACCATACTGCCATTTTTAAAAGCTTAACTAGAAGAATTCCATTCACTACGGAATCTAAATAAGACAGATAACAAAGCACACAGAACTTTTTTTTGTAAGTTTTTCATAAGGATTGTTTTGTTTCATTTCTTTCAGACATTCGTGTCAAGTTACATGAAGGCTATCTGCACTAGTTGTCCTTAGTTTTGAAGTAAACCATAAGAGGGAAGGCAGCTGGTCAACTGCACCTATCACCAACTTTTGCACTACTCCAATAAAATAATAATGGGATTTGACCATCACTCTTATAATGCACCCATGGTCCCAAAGTGATAAGTTCAATATAACAGGAATGGGACAATCAGCAGGCTATACCTGACCCTCATCATGATTGTATTTATAATCTGTTATGCGAATGTAAACACCATCAGTTATATTATATATAAGAACAGCTGAATAGAAAGCAATCTCTTATTCCCATGAAATCAACTTTTTCACTAACCAGATAACTTTGGATGGCCGGTACAGTTTTGAGGCTCACCAGGGCTGCTTTATTTTTGTGAAAACAAAATTACTCTATTTTTTATCATATTTACATTCTTACAGAAGTATTTTCTCAAATGCATTCACAGAATAGTTACAAATTTGTACAACAGAGTAGGTTAAATGTTCTCTACTTACCTATGAAACAATTGACTGTTTTTCCACATACTGATGAATTGACAAGCACTCCACCTATTTTGGCATGGCTTCCACAGTAAATGTCATTTGGCCATTTAATCTTGAGGTTTATATCCTTTTAATTCACAGGAGTAGTAAAAAATATGTATTCTGGGTTTTCAGACCACTTCAGTTAAATAGACTGACTAATTTAATGAAATAATATATATATTTTAATCTATGTGCAAACACATGCAATTACACAAAGAGATTTAACAAGCAAAATCATCAGACATGCCAAGTTCTAACACAATGATTGTGAAACTCACAAAATTTGAATTCTTGTCATATTCACTCATTTTATGTTTAAACGGTCTACACCTTAGTTATATTATACATTACAGAACTTTGTGGTCAATGAAAATTCATCTGGTGGGTAGTCTCTCTCCTAGTGGTTTTATTATTTTACAGTGATTCCTTCCAATTTAAAATGCAAACATTTTTAAATGATTCACTTTCATGATTTGCTTGTCAAAAGCAAAGATTTGGTATTATCCTTTTATTGCCTGCATGAAATGTTTAAATTTGTGTATGTGCATTAATGCCACTTTGTATTGCAAAGTCAGTTTTTCCTTTTCTTCATACTGTGTTACATTAATCCTTTAAAATTCATCAGAATGCACCATTTGGATACGTAAAATCTTTAGTTATATAAAACTCTCCATAGCTGTTATGAATTAATTACAACTCAGAAGCAACTTCAATATGTAATTTGTTTTTTTAACTGCATGACAGACAACAGGTTATATATATGGAGTGATAATAGTATACGAGATTAAATTGGTATCTAATGCAATATTTATGATAAAAGGAGACTGTTTAATTAATAGATTTAAAAAATGTAAGTTTAAATGTTCTTTTTTCTTGCAAGTTACATATAAACTGATTGAGTTTTTTTTAACATTATTAATAGTTACAACACAATACAAAATTCTTCTTCTTCAATTGTAAACTAAGTATTGGTTTAGTCTTAAAAAGCAATTTAAAATGCTTTTACCTTTCATGTATGAAGTTTTTATCAGCCATTTATCTTTCATTCTTTTTGAAATTAGGAAAAGTTGTCACTTCCTTATAACAACTTTAATGGTTCTAACCATACTAATTATTTAAGTACAGGTTGCATTACTTCTGTTAAAGTTATCATGTTTTACTAAAAACTAACTGAATTAAAAATTTCAATCAATAAACATTGTTATGACATTCATGCATTACATTTTCCCTTAGTTTAGGGAATCTAAGTATAAACTAATTTCTTTATTTTAATATTTAGTTACCTTATATTATTATTGTCAATTATTAAATTATTTACAAATATGTATCTTACAGAAATTGGAAATGCTGATAAATTCACAGCAGATGCCAGTAACTGCAGTGATTGCACATAAGATATTTGATAACACTTTGAGCAAAATGTATATATCATATTTTTATTTATTTTGTTAAAATAAGGTCAATAATATCATTTCATAGAACTTAAATTTCAATCTTTGAATACTTAAGTCTAAAATACATATTATAAATGAAAAAAAATTAGTGTACGCCAAACACGGGGATTCCATATCTTGTACAAAAAATGCTAAAAGATCAGTAACAAATTGAACTTCACTTGAGCAGACTGATGCAGGGAAAATAAACAATAGATCCAACATCATATTATGTCAGATGCTCACATTTACAAACTAAAAATGGTTGAGATTTTCCAAATTATCTAAAGGTTTATTTGTGGATGCTGAGGAAGAAAACCAAATACGAGGCCTGTGAGAAAAGTATCCGACCTTTGGCCGGGGAATAAAAACTGGCATACCTGGAGCGTTGGAAACCTAATCACCCTCAAAGTAGTCTCCTTGGGACTCCACACACTTCTCCCAGCGGTGCCGCCATTGTCGGAAGCATTCCGAGAAAGCCTCTTTCGAAATGGAGTTTACGTCGGCTGTCGTTGCAGCCATAATGTCCTCTCTTGTCTGAAATCGCATTCCTTTCAATGGCCTCTTGAGTTTGGGGAACAGCCAGAAGTCGCAAGGAGCCTGTTGAACCACAGGATTCTGGTTTTTCGCCAACAAAGTCTGAATCAAGTGCTAGGAATGTGCTGGAGCATTGTCGTGATGGAGGCGCCAATTTCCTGTTGACCACAACTCCGGTCTCTTGCGCCGCACAGCATCACGTAGGCGACGGAGGACATCCCTGTAGTACTCTTTGGTGATTGTTTGACCCTGTGGTGCATAAGCATCACTTTGACGTTGCTGCGCACTTGGCAGGCCTTCTTTGGTCTTGGTGACGTGGTTCAACAGGCTCCTTACTTTCCTGATATTAAAAGTGCCATTTCCTTATTTCAGAG